TTCTAGGCCAGATGCCTGGCGGGCAGACAGCTTCTATGTGGACGGGAAATGGGGCACTGTGCCAGATTGGCCCAGCTTTTATTATGCTCCTTGCAAGTCCCCTGGGTCCTGGTTGTGAGTAAAAAACAAACCAGAAGAGGCTGACACTTTGCTAAGCCATGATGAGGGTTAGGGAAAACAGGGCTGCTCTGAGCTGGAGAGCACTGCCTAGTGAGAAAGTGCTTCTGCAGTTGCTCTGGAGTATACTGTCTGAATATGAGTATGCTCAGATATGAAACTGTGCATAGATTCATGAGTGTCCCCCTATATCTGTACACTCAAAAGCCAACACTTTACAAAATTGAAGTCACCAATTAGCTTTCTCCCCATAGAAAAAGGGTACTAGAAAAAGACAAGAATTCTCTTCATCCCATTTGAAAGTGGCAGAAACTCAGAGAGGTTAGTTAAACTGCAAAAGTTGCTGGGTGCCGGTGGCTCACACCTATAAGCCTAGCTACTTCGGAGGCTGACATCAGGAGGATGATGGTTCAAAGCCAGCCTAGGCAAATAATTCATGAGACCCCCCCATCTCCAAAATAACCAGAGATATGATTCAAGCAGTAGAATACCTGCTTTCCAAGTACAAAGCCCCAAGTTCAAACCGCAATCTTACCCAAAAAAAAGTTGCAAAGATCACACAGAGTATAAAAACTCAAGATGAAAAGCCAGATCTGTCTTGCTCCAAATTTCTTGCTTTTGCCAGACCCATATGAGCACACATGTGTGTGTGTCTGTTCAGAAAGGCAGGTAGGCAGGTGCGCTTGTGAACATGATGCAGACTGTTAAGACCACATCTCTGTGCTGTAGAGAGGACATCTCTCTTCCAAAGGCAGAGGTGGTTGCTGGAAAGTTGGGACTTCTGGAATTGCATCACAGCTAAAACTGCGGAGGCTACAGTCAGTAATGAATCCACATTGCCCCAGATGAAGTCCTCACAGCACTGGGGAAAGCCTTCCTCTCTCAAGTTCATGTTTTGTCCTCCTTATTCCTCATAGTATCCTATTCTTGTGGTTTCTTAAGGTTGGTCCTTCCATGAGTGCCTTCTTCAGAGCCCAGAATTCCTTCTGATAAAATCTGCTTTGTGTTCTGCACATTTCCTGAGGAGGAAGAAAGGGCAGAGACGAAGTTGATTGTTACTCCTGTTATCAAGAGAGAAACTGAGGCCTTGATGTTCCTTTTCCAGGTTCACACATCCTGCCTGATTCAAGGGGACCTGCAATGGTCTTCTGTCGGAGCAGGAGGGTTGGCCTTGAGTGTCAGCTGCCATTACTCCGCTTGGCAGGCAACATGCCCAGGCCTGATCTGAGTTCCAGAGAAGTCATGTCCACTCTAGAAAAGTCATGTCACTCTGGGTTTAAGCCAAACCCCAGTGCTGGGAGAGGAAGGGAGGGGAAGCAGTTCACTTTGAAGAGGAGGTGTATTGAGGACTGCCAGCCTAGCTGGGTCAGAAACCACCGAGCCAAGGAGTGAGAAGGAGGGCAAGAACCAGACCATTGGAAAATCCAGAGCTGTCTTCCTCTTGGACATTGGTATTTAGCAGTTAGTGATTCAGTAAGTCTGGAGTAGGCCTAAGGAATCTGAATTTTTGGGGGCAGCAAGCAAGGGGTGCTTCGGTTCAAACCCAGACCTTGTGCATGCTAGGCAAGTACTTTATCACTAAGCTACATCTTCAGCCCAGGAATCTTGAGTTTTTGATAAATTCTTCAAGGTGATTCCCTTCAAGTGACCTAAGGATCAAGAGAAAAAAACAAACAAACAAACAAAAAAACAAATTTGACTCAAGAGAAATGGAGTCTTGAGGGCCCAAGATCTGGAGTTATGCTATGCAGTTTTGACTCCTGGCTCCATTACTAAATTTGTGACCTTGGACAAATGATATAATCTCTGTGCCTCAGTTTCTTCATCTTTAAAATAAGGATGCTTATAATATTAGCCTTCTCCCAAGAAAGTTACAAAGATTCAGTAACGAGAATCATGTAAAGCACATACCACATACATGGCACCTGTGAGTTTTTCAACAAGTATTCATTATTATTTGTTTCAATTCCTCATTCCCATCCCCACCCCCACTCCCACTAGAGAGAGAAATAACAATAGTGGATCAATGTAGGGACTTGCCGCTACAGTGTTGTTCCAGGTGGGGATAGTCTTTGGGACATGCATTGAGAATTCCTGTTCCAAAGCCATTCCCTCCCCACCACTCTCTGGATACCCTCACTGTGGAATGCCTTACTTTCCAATAAACTGCCCTGCTTTTCTCATCTTCTTTTCCTACATAGATGTCCCTCAGATCCCCACCCCCAAGCATGCACATGGCAAGCTGCCCTCCTTTTCCACCCTATCCAAAGTGATTTGGCTTAGGCTATGTCCTAGAAAGTAAAAACATACAGCAAGTAATGTTTGGTGGGCTCCTGGGTTTTGAAGAGGATCACGGAATTTTGTGCCCTAGGGTTAATAAGTGATCTTCAGAAGTGGAAGGGAACTGAAGCCTCCTGCTACCCAGGTTCTAACCATGCTAACATGCTATCTTCATGAGAGACAGGGACATCATGTGCAAGGGCATGGTTGAAGGTGAGGGTGGAGCAAGCTCTTCTCTGCCTGAATTCTTGCAGGTGCTTGTAAGTACAGATGGCACCTTGAGGTGACCACAAGCAGAAGTGATCTGGGAAAAGGCCAAGATGTGAAAAATAATCCAGCCATGAAGCAAAAGGAAAGCAGAAGTCAATTCTCAAATGCAGCAGTGGTGCTAGTTTGAAAGGTCCATGGATTCGACTAACCTGGGATACACAGAAAGGCAGCATCAGTTGTCTGGATGGCCAAGCCTGTCTCCTCTCTGACACTCTGCCAGAGTGGAAAACCAGTTTACCTCTCTTTCCAGTGAAACTGAAATAGAGAACCCCTGAGACATGCTGGAAAAAGGGATGGAGAGATTATGCCTGGAGAAAGAATTGGCAAGCCCAGATTGGACTCCTATCTTTGCTCACAGTGTCTCCTTACCAACTGACATTCTCAGAGCTCTTTGCCCCGAGTTAGGACTTTCCGGCCTGTCGAAATCTATCTATTGTTCTAGGCCATCATATGCTATTGTCATACCTACAATTTACCCCCCCCACACACACACACCAGGGTTGCCAGATAAAATAGAAGATACCCAGTAAAGCTTGCATTTCAGATTATTGATGAATAATTTTCAGCAAAACTATGTCCCAAATATTGCATGGCACCCATTTGTATTAAACAATTACTTGTTATTAATGTGATATCCAAGTTTAATTGGAAGATCCTATATTTTTATTTGTCAACTCTAGCAACTCTGCCCCATTCCTCTTCAGCATCTCCCCTCCCCCACGGGAGTTTGCTTGAATCAGTGGCCTTTTTGTTTGTTCTGCCCTTAGTTGAGAACCTTCATTTCTAGTTGGCCCAACTAGACTGGACGCTCTCTGAGGGCAAAGCCCGGCTCAGAAAGGATGCTCCTTACAGATGTTCGCAAAGGCACTTTCAAAGAGGGGCCTTAGATGGCCAAAGAAATCCATCCTCAACTCTATAGCTCCGAGCTAATCCCAGGCACAGTGACGTCTGCCTTCCGGAAGGGTGCTTTTTTCTCATTGGTCTGCCCAGAGTAGCGCCTGTTTCTAATTGGTCCCCTCTAGGATGGATGCCCCTTTTTCATTGGTTGGTTGCAAGGGAAAGGGGGCCTGTTTTCAATTATTGTCACCAAAGGAATGCCTGTTTCAAAGATGTCTATTCAAAGGACCCTTTCCAATTTCAATACCCAGTGGCCCCTTCTAAATGGCACAGAACTTTGTGTGTGTTGAGGCCCTGAGCCTCGGGGTTAGAACACTGCATTACTTTTGTTTAGCACTTTATAGATTCCAGATTACTTTTACACACATTCATCTAATCCCACAAGGATCCCTAGAGGTTGGCATCTTGGTTCTATTTGCATTTTACATAATGGACTGGGGCTGAAGAGGGACAGCAACGTGCAGGCAGTTTGTAAGATACACAGTGAAAAGAATTCGCTTTTGTTCAACATGAATTTAGCAAAGGCTTTCACAGATATTTTTTCATCCATCTTTATAACGACTGTACAGAAAATATAAGGCACTTTACATTCGTTTTCTCTTTTCATCTCCATACAACTGGGAACTAAATATCATATGATATCATTTTATTGATAAGGAAACTGACACTCGAAATAGTTAAATCCTTTGCCAAAGGTCGCAGCCTAACATTTATTAGACTGCGAGTTGCCAGGTAGCACTCACTTATTTGCAGGTATTATTATCTCATTAAATTCTCCCAATAATCACATGATACATATATTCTTATTGCCCCCATTTCCCGGTGCGAAAAAGCAGGTTCAGAGAGGGTGAATGCCTGGCCCAAGACCAGCCAGCCAGCAGGTGGCTGGGATAGGCTGATCTCAAACTCAAGTCCAATTCTTCTGACCCAAGCACAGGGCTCCTTCTTCCACACTCCAGAACTTGCTCCCCGCCCGACCCTCAAGTAGGCGAAGACCCCTCTTCATCGGAGTCTTAGGTAGACACAAGTGCCGGGAGATCTTTTTCCCCGATCCTTTTCGGGAAAGATCTGGTGCAACTGGAGGTGGCGGGTGCGGGGCGAGGCGGCCCAGCGGGCGGAAGAGGCTCCGGACCGCGGCGCGTTCCAGCGGCGGAGCAGGGTGGGTGGGGCACTAGCAGGGCCTCCCGCCCCTCCTCCTCTTTCCTCCCTCCCACGGTCCTCGGGCCCGCGCACCGGCGGGCCGGCATTGCTGAGGCTGGACGACCTCCGGCGGCTGCGGGAGAAGCGCGGCGGCGGAGCGGCCCAACGCGCAGACCGCGACACTGGCGCGCCCCGAGAACTGTCCCTGACCGCGCGGGGGCGGCGCAAAGCTGGCGCATTCCCCGGGTCTCCCGCTCGGCTGAGCGCCGGCCGGGTCCCCGCGCGCCGCAGCTCACCGCACCCGGCACCTGGCAGCCGGAGCACCCGCGCGATGGTGGCGCGCGTCGGCCTCCTGCTGCGCGCCCTGCTACTGCTGCTGTGGGGTGGCCTGGACGCTGAGCCGGCAGAGCGCGGAGACCAGGAGCTGCGCAAGGAGGCAGAGGTACGGGGAGTGTGCCTGGCGGACAGGGGTCCGCGAGTTCAAGTCCCGCCAGAATGTGGCAGTCGGGCCACCCGGCAGTCCCATCCGAGCGGACAAGTTGCGGTGCGTTCCCCTCTCTCTGTCCTCCGCCCCTTTCACACTTGCACACAAAGAGTCCCCGTGCCAGGGCTGGGACCACACAGGCGAGCGGAGCCACATTTACTGATTGATGGAGGCGGGGACAACGACAAGACGGGACAGATGGGCAAGACAGGAGAGGGTCCCCCCCACACACACACCTCATCGCCTATGTTGGGGAAACTGGTCGTTCATTCATCGTATGCCCCCAGACAGGTGCGATGGAGAGGGTACTGTGGCCTGACTGGCCCTGACTGGCTTCTTGGCCTGCGCTACCCTGCCCAGGGACAAGCCATTTAAACTGCTCTGAACCACTTTCATCTGTAAAGTGAGGAACAGTGGGAACCTGTCCAGAGGTGCTTAGAGGAAGCCCAAAATAGTGCTTCAGGACCGGACGTGAGAAAAGGGGGCAGAGAAGTGGAGGTGAACCTCAAAGACTCCCCATGTTACTTTCTTGCAGTGGATTCAACAGCTTTCTGGAGGTTGTGCAGTGAAACTCTCTGTGAGGGAGGGTGAGGACCCATTTAATGCGTGTGTTTTCTAAGTAAAGGTGATTGTAATAACACAAGTGGACAAGCTGTGTTATTTCCCTAAAGAAGTAATTCTGTGTTTTTATCTGTCCTCAAGAATAGGACAGGAGTCGCCACTATTTTAAGGAGGGATGTAGGGCTGGGAGTTTGTGGTAGACTGCCCGCCTACCTAGCTGGAGGCCCAGAGTTCATACCTCAAACTAATAACAATAAAAATACATGCAAATAAGCTTTAAGTTCCTTAACCCAACTCCTGAAAGAGCCTCATTCCTGCCCTAAAACCCAGGTGCAAGCTTCTCAGTACCCTCCTTACTTCTCTTCCCTAGAGGGGCCAGACCAATGATGGAAACTGTGGAACAAGTGGGGCTGTCCCTGAAAGGCTCTTCCTTCCATCTGCCACCTCCCACCACTGCTCTGGACTATTTGGAAATGATGACCTTGCTTCAACAAGGGATCCTGTCCTCCTCCTTTAACCCCTCCCCTTCCAAGCTCCCATCTCTTGCTGTGCTTTCCACTTTTGCACACTCAAGGGTTCACTTAGTCTCTCTGAATTTGGACTCTTACAACATCAAGTGCAGAGTCCCAAGGTCCCAGAAGGCTTCTGTCTACCAAGCCAAGTCTTGTTAAGAGTCCCACCCCACCACCCTACCAAGTGCAGTCCCAGGCAATCCTTGGCAGGAGAACAGAGGCAGTATCTCTGCCACCCATGACTGTGGTGGCCCCAGTTGCAGAGAATTTCATCTTGGGGTATGCTTGGAAACTGAATATCTAGCAGATCAAATTCCTTTCAATCTATTTAACATAAATTGGGGGAAAGGGATTTTTAACTCTAAGCAAAAGAAATATTTTTAAAAGCTGCCAGACATGATGGCTCACTGTAATCACAGCTACTTGAGAGGCAGAAACCTAGAGAATCTAGATTAGAGGACAGCCCAGGCACAAAGTTAGGGAGACCTCATCTCAATCAATAAGCCAGGTGTAGTGTCACATGTGTGTGATTCCAGCTGTGCTAGAGACCATAGATAGGATCGCAGTCTGAGGTCACCTGGGGAAAAACTGGAAACCCTACCTGAAAAAATAATTAAAACAAAAAAGGGCTGAGCATGTAGCTTAAGTGGTAGAGCGCCTGCCTAGCAAGTGCAAGGACCTGAGTTCAAACTCCAGTAGTGCAAAAAAGAAGAAATCATTTAAGAGCATAAAAACTCTGGAAATGTGTAATGAGTATGTATCACTGTGCAATTCTGTGTGTATCTGTGTTTCTGTCTATGGTTGACTGCATGGGCTTCCAGACCTGTATGCAAACCAGAGTAAGTCATTTAACCAGTGGGAGGTAATAATGCCTGTTTCACAAGATTGTTGTTTGGTTTCATTGAGATAATATATGTAAAAATGCTCAGCCCAGTACCTGAGACTTAGAAAGCAGTCTAAAAAGGAAGTTGCTCTCAATGTTAACGTTATCATTGTCATTATCATTATTTTAGAGAACAGAGCTTCAGATTAAAGTCCTGGCTTGGAGTCTGGCCCTCCCACAACAATAACACAGGGCTAAATATGTAAGGCAACTATTTTCAGCTTTGGACAATAGGCAGCACAAAGCTGCAATCTTTAAAGATGGTTTCATAATTACTATGGCTACATTACAAGTTGACTCCCCACAACTTAGTCAAGTAAAATGACCCTTTATTAAATTCACAGATACTGTGGATCAGAATTTCAAACAGGACACATCAAGGCTGCTTGTCTCTGCTCTACGATGTCTGGGGCTGGGATCAACTGAAGGCTTCTTACTCACATATCTGGCCATTGAGGCTGGCTGTCAGCTGAGGGCCTCAGGTCTTCTCCATGTGGACCTGTTCATGTGGTGTCCCCCTGTGTGCTACTCTGAGCTTCCTAACTTGTGGCTAGGCCCTGAGGATGAGTGTTGAGGGAAAGAGATTGAGACTATCTTTTTTATGACCTAGACTTGCAAGTTGAATAGCATCAACTTGTGCTATGTTTCATTGGCTAAAGCAGCCTGAAGCTTCCCCCAGGTTTGAGAAGAGGGAACATAAAGCCCACACTTGGTGGGAGGATGTGTAAGAAGACGTTGCAGGTCATGCTATAAGCAGAGCACGGGAATGGGAGATACCATGTGGTATCACAGAGTGAGCCCAACTGTCACCCCAGCTCTTGGCTCCCAGGCAATTCCCTGACTGCAGTGCAGGGAACTCAGCTCAAAGCAGAGCACAGTCCTGCTGAGCTGAGGTGGCAAAGGCCAGAGTTCAGAGCTGTTGAAGCAGCTGGAATCCATGGAGCAGTGCATCACAGAGGCAAGGACCACCCTGAAGAGCCTGGCCCATGGACTGGAGGCGTGGCTCAAGCAGCAGAGCATCTGCTTTGGAAGGACAAAGCTCTGAGTTCAAACCCCAGTCCCACCAAAAAAAAAAAAAAAAAGAAAGAAAAAACAAACCTAAGTGTGTATGGGGGTTCACTGCAGGACCTTGCCTGAGAACCTCACTGGCATATGTAGGTTCAGATATGTGAGACTTAACAAAGAATAGCTGCTATATGACTGAAACAAACAAACAAAAAAGGTTCTAGAAATTGAGTGTTTCTGGAAGATGTTGGAGGTCTAGCCTAGTCCAAATGGAAAAAAGTTTAACACCCCAGACATCCATGTGAAACTCCATGGATGTAAAACTCCATGAAACTCCAGATGCCATGTTTTAGGGTTAAAGGACCATGATCTAGAGTAAGGCCTACTCTAACAAAGCTTAGAAATGGATAGACATAAAATGTGGTTTTCCCTTGTTATAATTTCCTTAAAAGACACTGACTGCTTAAAGCTAAGTCATAACATTGTAAGTTGGACTTCATAACACATGCCAAAGTCATAACAGCAGCACGGGGGTGGGGGAGCAGGCAAATGAAATTCTGCTGTAGATTATACTTTGTGAATTGTCAGTGTCAGATGTGAAGTAGGAAATGGGACAGGTCATGTGTGAAGTGCAAAGTGTTGTGATATTGCAGCAAAAATAAATCAAAGTGGACTAAAACACATTAAGGATGTACTTAGGCAAAGGAAGTCACACACATGCACACCCAACTTAAAAGCCTTGACAAGATCTGCAGATTAATTTGGCCTCTATAGATTTGCATATCCTGGACATTCCACATAAATGGAATTATACAAAATGTAGTCTTTAGTGAATGGATAATGGGAGATTTTTTTTTCGGTACCAGAGTTTAAACTCAGGGTCTACACCTTGAGCCACTCCACCAGCCCTCCCCCGGCCTTTTTTTTTTTTTTTTTGTGATGGGTTTTTTTCAAGATAGGGTCTCTCAAACTATTTACCCAGGCAGGTTTTGGACCACAACCTTCCTGATCTCTGCCTCCTGAGTAGCTAGGATTACAGGTATGAGCCACAATTGCCCAGTGATAATGGGAGATTTTAACACCCCTCTCCCAATAATGAATAAAACAATATATTTTTTTAACAATTCACGAGGTTGGGGATGTAGCTCAGTGATACACGCTTGCCTAGTATGCACAAGGCCCTGGGTTTGATCCCCAGCACCATCACCACAAAAAAACAAAAACAAAACAAACAAACAAAAAAAAACCCACTGTAATCATGCAAAGAACTTGAGCAACACTGTGAACCATCTTGACCTAATTGATTATTGATAGAAAACTGCACTGGTGAACCCAGAATACACATTCTTTTCAAGTGCATGTGAATTATTTACCAAGACAGTCCACGTGCTGGGTTATAAAAGAAGTCTGAATACATTTCCAAAGTCAGAGTTTTGCAGACTCTTCCTTGACTAAAGCAGAACTAAATTAGTAATCAGTAACAATAAGATATCTAGCAAAACTTCCAGCATTTGGGGATTAAACAGCACAAATCTAAACTCCCCAGGAACCAATGAAATCACAAGAGAAATTAGAAAATATTTGGAATAAACATCAACATTTTGGGATGCAGCTAATGCAGAGTTTAGAGTGAAATTTGCAGCTTTAGCTGCCTAGAGTGGAAGTTTTAGATCAATGATCTAAGGCTTCTACTTAAAAAAAAAAAAAACAGGGATAATCCTAAAGGGCAGAGAAAAAAGAAATAATAAAAACAAGCTGTGTGACTATAGGCCACTTCCTTCACTCCTCTGAGTTGCAAAGGGGACTAAACTTCTTGAATGTCTTCTAAGATTTGCTCTAGCTCTAGCATTGTTTGCCTTTGGTGTGTCTGGTATGCCTCTGTGTGTGTGTGTGTGTGTGTGTGTGTGTGTGTGTGTGCGCGCGCGCATGCGCTCACACACACATTATCATCTGCCTTTGTGACCATATCTAGCTTTCTGTTGTTTTTTATTTGTTTT